CCTCTTTTTTTTTTTTAACACTCTACTTCTAATTAAGTAAAAGATCAATCATCTATGTCTGCACTGTCTTCTTCACAGGCTAGGTGCACAGCTCTTCAAAGTATGTTCGTTAATAGTTTCTGTTATCACAGTGTCAGGATATTCAACTTTCTAAAGGATGGTTTCACAGCATCCTGAACTATGATCCCATTCCATATTGATAATTAACAGTATTACAAGCATCTAGCTCTCAAGAAGGCCGTACAGTGGCAATACGCTTCCTGCACATTCACCCAGTCTAAGAGAACCTGTAGGTATCTTTTTTAAAAATTATTATTATTTTTCTTTTATAACTACAAGTATCTGTCTTGAGCTTACCTGGGTATGTTTAAAAACACTATACACTGGAACTTCAGCTCCTGGATCTTTGGAGTCAGGTCTGTACCATCACACTACAAAGCCAAAGTGACAGAGCACAGAGAAATTGCTGAATGGAGCCACAGACAAGAGAAGTGTTGCTGCTTTGTAACAACTTTCCCAAGACTTTCCTTGGAATGTGTTGCAAATGTCATGCTCAAAACTGAAAAGTAACAGAGCCATTAAACTCTCACCTTGCTCTCTCTCCGTGCCCCCCTCTTCCCACAATACTATGACAATTTCTTATACTTACCACAACTTTAACATGCTTGGATAAATCTCTGGAGCTTCTTTGCAGAAAATCTGTAAAGGCTGCCTGCAACAGAAATAAGTGCAGGAATTATTGTCAGAGCTTCCTCTCTTCTCTTTCCTCATTTCTTATTCCACCACAGAAGTAGTTACCAAAATGCCATTCTTCTGTGAAATATATTCTTTCTTCTTCTTTTTTAATTATGCTACTTCTGAGAAGTTAATCAAAGAAGGTCCTTGGGTACCCAAGCATTTAAATGCAAATTCTTGCTCACATGTTTGTTTCCATGTTTAAGGCGCATGGGTACAGTGGGAGTCTAATTCAGAAAGATATTGCATGTCACGTATTATCAAATTAGTGTTTCTCTTTCAGTAACGGCATTTTAGGATAAAGTGTTGTCCATGTACATACTGAATGTAAAGGTGGGCAATATTTTAGCGTATTTACACATAAAAATTAATCACTCCATATAGCTGATCTCTGCCTTCCATTCTCCATAACTCTGTGTCCTAGACTACTCCTCAAAACTACAAAGATCAAGCCAACACTTGTGTAATTTCTCTAGGAAAGTCAATATTAATGTGCTTCCCAAACCCTGAAAGAAGCAGACCAGTTTGTTGAGAAGCTGATGAGCCAGAAGCAGGGGGACCAAGACATTACCAGTCCTACGTCCAAAGGAGCAGCATTTCTCTCACCTGCTAAGCTCTGTAAAGCAAGAGTGCTTCAGGCACTTTCCAGACACTGTTGCACAACACTGCCAGAAATGGTACACGTGTACTTTAAATTGCAACAAGTAAAATGAACCAGCATGAACACCTCATGTTAGAAGGTGAGGGGGAAGGTACTTAAGAAAACATTTAAACAGCTAAGTTAGCATCAGTCTGGAAGACAAGTCTCGACTCACCCCTGCATAAAACATTTTATTTCTAAATCGGCTGTTGAATTTCTCTGGATTTGCTTCTGTGAAAGAACAAAAACGAAAAATATGAATGCTCTAATAAATGAAGAATGCTTTATTGTACCTTTATACTCCCTCCTAGCACTATGGTGTTTTAAGTACACATCACTCAGTGGAAATATCAACATAAATATATTTCTCCTGTGCGAGAGCAACACATCTGTGCTGTTATCTGTTATCAGATTTCAAACATTGATATTCAATCCTTCCCCTTTCCTGTACAGTGAAAAGAGATGGAAGCATGAGCAAAGAGGTAACAAGATTACAATCAGTTAATTTAGCACCTCTCAGATGACATGTTTTATGATCCCTCAGTACCATTTGTGAGGCTTCTATTTCTACCAACACAGAACAGATCTCTAAGAATTATTAGAAATCCATGAAACACTAATCCATCCTTTGAAGCAGGAGTAAAGCATTAGAAAATTACAAGACGAAACAGTCACTTAATTCTAATGTCTTACACAGAGGTAGTGAGGAATAGACACCTCTACTCGAATATTTCTGCAGCAAAAAAAAGGAATAAGCGGTTAATCTAAAAGTTTAGAGAGCTGTTTCATTTTGATTAGACTCCAAGTGATGAAGAATGTTAATAGCCCAATAGTAATGAACATCTAGTGGTTAATTATTCTCACTGTTAAAATAAATGTAGGGTGTTCTTTTTGCCTATCTTGGACTTTTCAGACTTGAACTGCTAAATCTCATTATATTTCTCTGCCAAATTAAAGAGCCCTCAACTATCAGATATCTTCTCCTTGAGTAAATACAGGCAGTGATTAAATCAACTCTTAACCTTCTTTCCAATAAGCTAAATGGAGCTCCTTTAATCTCCCAGTATAAGTCACGTTTCCCAGAATACATATCATTCTCATACCTCCTTGGGAGCTGCTTTCCTTGTCTGTGGCATTCAAAGATCTTAGAAGTAGCCCTTCTGACACTGTCTTCAGTGGTAATATCAACCCTTGCTCAGTGACTCCCAAGTGAAAACACGAAACTGTCAAGATAGTTCTGGCTAAAGTATGGCACTGGTGTCAACACTTGCAAATTAATTCTTCTCACATGACCACCTGGAACAATGTTACTGGTTCTCTTTGAAGTCACTACATCTCACAGTGTAAGGCCCCATTTTGTAAGAATGAGCTACTTTGTACTTCTCGTTTGATCGTTTGTTCAGCTACTGTAACAGCCATTTGTTGCGTTGCAGGTGAGCCTGGAACATATTCAGGGCCACCTCTTCAAACAATTAATTTACCTGCGTAAGTAAATCTCATCTTGTTTACTGAGCTCAGAGCTCTTTACAGAAAGTCTAAACACTCTGTGCTAAGAAGTTGGAGGCTCCTGTAGGCTCAGTGACAGTGCTACACATTCTCTGATGTGGCTCTCTCATTTCTCTGGGCATGAACCACCAGAGCACTGGCACTTAGGTGAATCTTACAACAAATACTGACCAGAACCAAAGCCACAGTTTAGAGCGGAAAGAGTCTTTCTGAGGTCAAAGACTCAGCAGTCCTTCAACATTCTGAACTGCTCCTACTTCTGACATACCACAGGATCATTTTCAAGCCATCGGGGCAGTAGGAAGTAGAATGCGTTAGACTTGATGTATGTAGAGGGAAAGGTGTCCTGCAAATGAACAGTCCTGTAGAGCTGAGGGATCAAAGAGCATGCCAACAGGACAAAATAGATTCCATCTCCCCTGTCCCACCAAAGCATAAGGATAACGAGAGGAAAATGAAACAAGTTGCTAAATAGGCTAAACAGGGACCTCTGGCTGGACCTCAAGAACAAAAGGAGAGTCTATGACCTTTGGGAGAAGAGGCAGGTCTCTCATGAACACTACAAAGATGTAGTGAAGCTATGCAGGGAGAAAAATAGGAGAGCCAAAGCATAGCTAGAGCTAAACCTAGCTACAGCTGTTGAGGATAATAAAAAGTGTTTCTATAAATTCAATAACAACAAAAGGGGGATTAGGGAAAATCTCCATCCTTTAGTAGATGCCGAGGGAAACATACTAACAAAGGATGAGGAAAAAGCTGAGGTGCTCAATGCCTATTTTGCCTCAGTCTTTAGCACTGGAACTACCTGTTCCCTGGACGGTCAGCCTCATGATAGAGGAGACAGGGAGAGGAAGCAGAATGAGATCATTACAATTAAAGACGAAGTGGTCAGTGACCTGATAAACCACTTAAACGCACATAATTCTATGGGGCCAGATGGGTTACACCCAAGGGTGCTGAAACAGTTACCAGACATGCTCGCCAAGCCACTTTCCATTATTTACCTGAAGTCCTGGCTAACTGGGGAGGTCCCAATGGACTGGAAGGTAGTAAATGTAACACCCATCTACAAAAAAGGCAGAAAAGAGGATCCAGGAAACTATAGATCTATTGGTCAGACCTTATTACCAGGGAAGGTCATGGAGCAGATGATCTCGAGTGCCATGACACGTCCTATAGAGGACAACCGGGGGATCAGGCCCAGTCAGCATGGGTTTATGAAAGGCAGATCCTGCCCGACAAACCTGATCTCCTTCTATGACAAGATGACCTGACTAATGGACAAGGGAAAGGCTGTGGATATTGTCTACCTAGATTTTTGACACTGTTCTGCACAGAATTCTCTTGAAAAAACTGGCTGCTCATGGCTTGGATGAGCATATGATCTGCTGGATAAAGCACTGGCTGGATGGACAGGCCCAAAGAGTGGTCATCAATGGAGTTAAATCCAACTGGCAGCCAGTCACAAGTAGTGTTCCTCAGGGCTCAGCGTTGGCACCATTTCTGTTTAACATCTTTACTGGTAATCTTGATAAGGACATAAAGCGTATCATCAGTAAGTTTGCAGATGGCACCAACTTACGGGGGGGTGTTGACTTGCCCGAGGGTAGAGAGGCTCCACAGAGAGACTTGGATAGATTGGATTGATGAGCCAATGTTAATGGTATGAGCTTCAACAAGGCCAAGTAACAGGTCCTGCGCACTTGAGCTACAAAAACCCCATGCAACGCTACAGGCTTAGGGAAGTGTGGCTGGAAAGCTGCCTGGCAGAAAGGGATCTGGGGATTCTAATCGACAAGAGGCTGAATAGGAGCCAGCAGTGTGCCCAGGTGGCCAAGAAGGTCAATGGCATCCTGGCTTGTATTAGAAACAGTGTGACCAGCAGGAGTAGGCAGGTGATCGTCACCCTGTACTTGGCACTGGTGAGGCCACGTCTTGAGTATTGTGTCCAGTTTTGGGCACCTCAATACAAGAGAGAGACTGAGGTGCTGGAACAAGTGTGGAGGAGGGCAACAAAGTTGGTGAAGGGCCTGGAGAATAAATCTTGTGCAGAACAATTGAAGGAGCTGGGCCTGTTTAGTCTGAAGAAGAGGAGGCTGATGGGAGACCTCATCATGCTCTACGACTACCTGAAAAGATGTTGTAGAAAGGTTGGCGCTGGTCTCTTCTCAGAGGTAATCAGCAAAAGAACAAGAGGGAATGGCTTCAAACTGTGACAGATTAGCTTTAGACTGGACATTAGGAAAAAAATTTCACAGAGAGAGCAGTTGGACATTGGAATAGGCTGCCCAGGGAGGTGGTTGAGCCACCATGCCTGGAGGGCTTTAAAGGTCATTTAGATGTGGTGTTGAAGGATACGGTTTAGGAGTGAGCTTTGTAGAGCAGGGTTAATGGTTGCACTCAATGATCCCAAGGGTCTTTTCCAACTGAATGATTCTATGCTACCCGGAACACTTCCTGAAGCAGCAGAGCTAAATATATTACATTGGAAACAACCCTCAAGGCTCAGTCTGATTAGTCACAAGGGTAGCAGTTGCCATGAAAAAGGCCAAAATTCAGGTTCCTCTCAGAAATCACAACCATTGCTTATTCTAAATAAAACAATTGACCAATGTCTATTGCATAAAGTGCCTTGATAGGCTGAGAGTTCAAATCAATTTATTTATTTATGGGAGGGAGAGGAGGCATGGTGTTTGTCTTAATAATATATGTGATTACAATAGCTCCTGTATACAACCACTTATCTTAATGGACCAAGGGCTACAGTCATGGAAGTGTTTTAAGTTTTACTAAAGTTTTGCTAAGAGTTTCTTTGGATTATCTTCAACTGTAAATAAGATCAGAATTTGTTTTAATTGCTTAATTCATAGAATCATAGAATAGTTTGGGTTGAAAGTGACTTTTAAGGGTCATCTAGTTCAAGCCTCCTGCAACAAGCAGGGACATCTTTAATTAGATCAGGTTGCTCAGGCACCCATCCAATCTGACCTTGAATGTTTCCTGGGATGAGGCATTTACCACCTCTCTGGGCAACCTGTGTCAGTGTTTCACCGCCCTCATCATAAAAAAAACCCCTTCCTTATATCTAGTCTGAATCTACCCTTTTTTAGTTTAAAACCATCACCCCTTGTCCTGTCACAACACACCCTACTAAAAAGTCCTTCCCCTTTTTTATAAGGCCCCTTTAAGTACTAAAAGGCCACAACAGGGTCTCCCTGGAGCCTTCTCTTACCCAGGCTGAACCATCCCAATTCCACATAAAAAACAATTAAAAAAATCCCCCACAACTGGCAACACCTCCAAGTCTATAAGTTTTCCTCTCTTAAAATATAGAGAACTCGCTTTGTAAATTTTAGCTTTTGAAAATGTAAAGAAGACACTAGCAGTAGTACTTGTAAGAACAAAGATTTGTGCATTGAAAGGCACTCCTGGCTGCACATATCCACTCCCAGACACACAGCTTGCTCTGCCAAGTATTTTTTCATCCATGTAAATTTTTAAAACACTGGCATCTCTGGAATAACATCCATTCTTTATAGGTCTCCATAACTTCATTATTAAGTAATGCCTCCATTAAGCAAGAAAGTAGCCGTGCATTTCATCTATACAGTATATTCACAGTCACATTAGCAATGCATAATGATATGCATTGATAAAAAAAAAATGCATACAGCTGTCATCATTTCATTCCCGTGCCCTTTTGTGGCCTCTCATTATTATTCCTAAAGCTTAAAGCAGTCTTAAACATTATAAAATATGCATTAGTTCATTCCATCATGTATCCTGATCTTTATTTAGCATGGCACTAGAGTGCTATCTTTTCATCTTGAAATGACACTCCGATAGTATGAAAGTGAAGATAAAGGAGTCTGTGATTCAGAAAAAAACACCTGCAAAAACTGAACACAGAAAAATTGAACAAGGGTGGTTTTTTTCCCATACAAGCATGCTTGCCTAAACTGCATAAACACAGCAGTTCGCATCAGTCCAAAGCCTGCCTACCCGTTAAGCCCTGTCTGGATTTGCATAGGGTGGTAAAACTGCCATCAGCAAGGGGACAGATGATGCTACGACAGCTCACATTCCCGACGGTTCTGTGGACAATAAAACCTCTCCTTTGCATAGACACACTTCGGGTCTGCACCAAGCCCAATTATAATATTCTATACTCATCCATAGCTGTTCAGTTTGAGAACACAATTACCCTCCTGCTGCTTCCACAGTCTTGCAGCTTTACTCCTCCCTCGACCTCCATATTTACACCTGATGTACATTTGCTTTTCCTTCTGCTCTTATTATGATGCTTCTGCATCGGCACAAACTTCCTTTATAGATGTACTTAGTATCTTCTTCAGAAGATCACAGACATTGAAAACCTCCCTTTTTAGCCCTTTTCCTCCAGTCAATGCCACTCTTCCACTTTTTTTTCTTTTTTAAATCATGAATTCCCTTCGAAACTTAAGACACAATCTCTTCCTTCCTACTTTATGTACCTTGGGGTTTTATGTTTCAACTTCCTTTCTGAGTTATAAAAACAGGATGTTAAATCCAACTCTATCTGTAATTCGTAAAATAACTGCCCATTCCCAAGATCAGGAAATAAAAAGTTCCTATTACCTCTAGATTCATGGAACTCCAGTGTAACATGTGCATCAAATCCAAGACTGAAATAATTATTGAAGACGCTGAGAGGAAGCTGTAATTGGATAATTAAAAGACACATAAAAATAATATGAATTAAACATCCATGACATTCTAGGAATTAACTACTTAAAATCTGGCATCTCATGAAAACCTATGAAGAAGAAAGTAGAACATGCCAGGGAAATCTATGCAGAAGGTTGCTCTGAAGTAATAGCTTTCAGAGCACGTTCATATACAAAAAGCCCAAAGAAAGCAAACCCATCTACAGTGCTTTATGATATTACGTACATATATCTTCGTAAACACATCAAAAGGTTGCTTTTGTTGTCATTGAGGTTTCCCATAATGCCGCTCCACTTAACATGCCAATACAAAATGTTTCCTAATTGCTGGCACTTCAAGCTCAGCATGGTGAACAAAACTCAAGCTGTGTTCTTCCTGCTTCATATGTAACTGGCAGCAATGTAAGTTCCATACAAGAGGCCCTAATTCCATCGCGGATGCATGAGGTAGGGCCTCTTCATCATTACACACACCCAGCAGGGATGTAGAGAGAGAACAGTAGCATCCAATAGATAAGCTGGAAATTGTAACTGAGAAGAGGAAAATGGTTTGCAATCAATTTTTTATGACTGTAACACTTTCAACACCTCTAGTCCAAACAGCACGTTACTATAAATGTGATCCCCCTCACATAAAAAATTTCCCATTCTTCAACTATCAAGACACCATAATGGAGATTATATGGAGATCCACACAAAAAGTCGTTGAATGAAGAATTACACCACACGTTGCTGTAAAACAATGAAAAGTTGATATTCATTAGCAAAATCCTAAGGAATAAAATTCTACAGCCTATTTTTAGTTTTGTCTTATTCCGGAATGGATGGTAGTCACTGGGTTTCTTCTTCTGCCACCCCAGGTTAACTAGAGAAAAACAACAATGACCTTTCAGATAAACACTAAGGACTTTTTTTCCAGGTTTTAGTTCTTGAGATAAATGCTTAATGCCTGGAAATTACAAACAAGAACCAAATGGCTGGTATTTCACACACTTCTTGGAAGAGCTGACACATGAAAAGCTCAAAGCCAAGAGATGCAACTAAAGTATTAAAAAGTTGTAGAGCTTCCCCACCCATGCAGACCCCAAGATGTTCTTAAGTGTCCTATTGTCTCCCTAGGAAAAAGAAGTCTCTAACCTTACGTGCCCCATCCTCCAGCTCATCCTGCGGCAACTCAGGATTGCGCTCAACTTGAAGATTCCAGCGGTCCAGCTGGACAATGGTCCCATCTTCTACATGGCACAGGATCTTGGACACTGGCTCATCTGTGTAACCCTGACAGCAGAGTATCACCAGAGTATCAGCCATAAACCGTGAAAGCAAAGCAAGTGTCTCATCAATTATCTGGCAGGCCTGAAACTCCAGATCATATGCTCCTAAGAACACCTCAAAACATTGCTAAGTTTTGATCAAGCATTTTAAGAATCTATTGCTGAGGTACACAAGTCTTGGGCAGGCAAAGTGAGGCAGCAAGGAGAGGCACTCAAAGTGTACCTGCCTTGCCTGGAATAACTCTAGTGGTGTCATTAAGGATAAATACAGAGAAATAAAGTTTAAACTATGCTTAAATTAGAAGCCTGCATGTCCTCCTCGTTATTTGGCCTGAAAAACCAGATAGATACATCTATGCACGCTTTTATTACAACAACTATATCATTAGTAATTCAAGATTCCAGACTGGAGATTGAACCAAACCATTGTGCCTAACTGAAGCAGACCTTGGACACAGCCCTGCCTGCTATTTCAGCCAAAAATGAAGTTCCACCTCACACAATCAGATCAGCAAGTTGAGAGCCCACACATAAGGGTACCCCAGCCACTGCTTACCCCACCCCAGTTAAGGGTGCGGGCAAGGTCATTCCCAGTGCCAAGCGGAAGGACAGCCACCGGAGGCGGGGGACTGAGTTGCAGGTCATCGAGAATGGAGAGGATCCAGCCCACCTATAAAATGGGAAATGGAGAGAACTGTTAGTCATAAGGGATGGAAGAAATGAAAAAGATGTATTTTGATGGTAGTCCTTTGACAGAGAAGATCAAGTAAAACAAAAGGGAGAAGGAAAACTGAGGGTATCTGAAATTTAACTCTACAACTGCCCCATCTGAGGCTTCACCTTTCAGAGAACAGGTACAGCAGTTTTCATGAAGCTCCTGTGCAAACAATCTCTAACAGCACAGAGAGATACTGAGGAAAGGGAACATGTAAGTTACTGTTCTTTAAGCAGGAAGTGAAAGAACACAGAATTACTCCTGCTATTATAAAGATACCTAAATATTGGTCTAAAAAATACTATATGTAAAAATGAGCAAAGAATAATATGGATAAATTAAGATAGTTTTTTTTAGTGCCATTATGCTAAAAGAAGTTAAACCTTTGACAACTGTTATTAAAGAAGATGCAAGAGGTACATTAAAACAACATGGTATCTCAGAGCAGAGGGTCCAAATGAAAGCAAATACGTACTTACCCACAGGTCTCCCATTACCAGACAAGAGACTTTAACATTGAATTATTTTACTCAGGGCAAAGCATAACATAACATATATATTCTAGTAACATATATATATATATGCATGTATGTATGTATATATATATGTGTGTGTGCGTGCATGTATATAAAAAACCCAACTAAAATAAAAGACTCTAATGTTCAGTTTTGAAGGCTTTGGGTTGGAACAATGAATCTGGCTCATTTGTATCATAAGCTATTAGTTATTTTAGAAAGCTATTTCTTTCTCCTATTCCTATTCTGGACTACATAAAACTTTCAAATAGGAATCTAGCCAGAAGGAACAAATTACTGTAAAATATTTTGTTTTCATTAAATAGTAGTTTCCACAGGAGGAAAGAATTGTTGCTGATGCTATCAAACTTGTCATGACTGAAATTTTTGCTACAAGAAAATAGGACTATTTCTTAAACTCACCATTTACTTCTCAATCTGTGAAAGAACCTGTACCGCATGTTTAAATAAAGAATTAAAGGAAAAAAATAAACACAAAGAGATAAAATTTTATTACTTTTTTTCCTGATACCAATGTTGAAAGATGCCATCTCCACTGGAAATGTGAGTGTTTAAATAAGACAGAAAACTGCAACTTTCTAGAGAGGATTTTTCCTAGCACAACAATATTGCTATGTTTTCAGATAGATTCTTATCCCCACCCTGGAATGATACTGAAGCTTCACAAAACGCATCCAGCATAACATGGGCACTTGGTACAACAGCTGGAATTCAAAGGACTGCAGAGGGTGTGACCTGATAGATAGAGCAACCACCATGCTGGTCAGTGTTCTCTGGTCTTTTTTTCTCCAAGTCTATTGACAGATAAATTTAATTTTGTAGAAATAGCATTAATCAGACAGTTATTTATCATAACCAATCATCCAGTTATTAAAGCATTTATGTGCGGTGTGATCACGTATTAGAGCTCATTGTCTGACAACAGTCATCTGAATCAACTCATGATCTTGGATGTCACCAAAGGTACTTTAGGTCTACCACAGGCGCCATGGTAGGACTAAGTCAAGTCCTACCGGGATTTTCAGAGCCAAATAATCTATTAACTTTCAAATTATCTGTCCTTCGGTATTGATAACAGAATAAAGACTCTTGATAACTCCACTGGGGCGAGGACTTCTAAAAGAATTCTTTGTCATTAGCCCTTTTTCTTTCCTGCTGGCTTAATCTGTACATTTGTGCCTCAGCCCCCCATTGGTTCAGGTAACATTACAAGACCTGCCACTTCTGTAAATGATTTAAACTGATAAACAGAAACTTCAAATTGCTAATTTATAAGTACAACACTGCTAATTAACTTGAGGTCATTTCTAAACATTGCACATTAATTTTACAGCCAAGGATGACACAGCTTTTCACTTCCCTGTAAATAGAAAGCTCCTGACTGCTTTGAAAGCAAAGCTTTCCACTTAAGCCCTGGAAAGGAACAGCAAGCGGCAATGATGGAAAAGTTACAACAAATTCTGATTCGCCTCAATAATGCGAGGTAACATCTGCTCTCATTGAATATTCACTAAGTCCATTTGACCCAGATTTTTCATTTCTAGATGTAATGGCTTTGGGAATAACTAGGTATTAACTTGCTTCAGACTGAGCAGCCGCGAAGGCAATAGGGGAGTGCTGCTCGTACCAATGGGGAGATGCTGCCACCTGTCGCCAGCACTGCTCGGCAAAGGGAAAACAAAAGGTGGTCAGACTCAATGTAGTTACATTCAGTCCTCTTTTTAACCTTTTTGAGACAAAATCCCTTCCCTCGCCATTTTAAAATATTTGCCTCCTCAGATGGATGAAAAATACTTTCATAAGCAGATTTAAATACTTTTTCCTGCGTATGCCTCCAGCCAAAGAAATGCATTCTCCAGGAGAGTTCACAATTCAGTAATAATATCTTATATTCCCAGGTACCAGCAACACAGTAGTCTAATCACAGGGGTTTTTTCCTTCATTCTTGCACGGGAAGTGCTGGTATTAATAACCCTTACAGCTGGGGCTCTGGAAGAGCCCACAGACACTGAACAGAAAGTTCCCCCAGAGATACAGGCAGAAACAGGTTAAGGAGGGAGTGCGGGGTGTGTTCATCTCACTACAAAAACATCCTTACAGTGCCCTAAACATCTATGCATGTCTGTCCTGGCCAGCCATTGCACCTTGCAAGCAGTAATGCATTTTCCTTACCATACTTACTGTTATGACTGTTGCCAAATGTGTTTTGGGGGACTGAGTTTCACAGAGATTAAAGGTAAGTTTTTTAACCATATTAAAGACTCAGCAACACAGACCAAGATTTAAAATATTCTTTAAGTACTGGAAAAGTGTCATATGGTTGTAATACCTCCATTACAGCTCATGGCCTCCAGACTCTGAGCTGCAGAGCCTATCTCCAGCTGAAGGTGCCTAAACCCTTTAAAGATCTGACCTTATTTGCTTAACATACAGAAATACACTAGCAAAAAAAAATACTGAATCTAGATCTGGCAGATCACAGGCTGGTAGTTACGATCACTTGAAGATCCTTCCTCACAGACACTTTGTAAAGAAAGAAGGGAAACTCACTTTCTTCAGGCACAGAGGAGACCCTATTTGACTGCATTTGGACACCACAGAGATAACAGCAGAAAGGAGCAGAAATCAACATTTAATGGCTCCCAGACACTGAGTTAACCCTCTAGACCCTCAGATCTGTGTAAACAGCAAGAGGAGGCCAGCAAAGTTAGTCTTCATTGTTTTTAAGCTAAATTGCACTAAATCTGTATGCATAAAGAAGAGATTGGGACACTAGGATCTGGCCCCATCTCCATGCAAACCAAGTCACACAAATTTTTTTTTAAGAAATAAGTAGATTTCACAAGCAGAAGGTACATTATGTGGTTCTGCAGGCAAAATGCGTAGGTAGGAAATCCACAACTGCAAGGAATTTATTTAATCACTTGGCCAATGACCCCAGGGCTGTCAGGCACCAAACACTTACCGTCCCGTCCCCACCACAGGCCAGGATCCGCAGGTTTGGCACTTTTCTGTACAGCTCCAGCCTGGCCACGGGAGGGAAAGGGAAAAAGGGAAAAAAGTCAGAACAAAAATGCAGACAATTTATACGCATTTTGCCAAGTGATGGTTTAACCACAGCTTACTGCATTTTTGAATATCCATTATGAAGACTGTAGAAATAAACACAAAAAAAAATCATAGAATTACAGAATTGTCAGGGTTGGAAGAGATCTTAAAGATCATCTAGTTCAAGTCCCCTACCATGGGCAGGGACATTTCCCACTAGATCAGGCTGCTCAGAGCCCCATCGAGCCTGGCCTTAAAAACTTCCAGGGATGGGGCTTCCACCACCTCTCTGAGGAACCTGTTCCAGTGTCTCACCACCCTCATGGTGAAGAACTTCTTCCTAATGTCCAGTCTGAACTGATCCATCTCTAGCTTCAATCCATTCCCTCTCAGTCCTATCACTACCCGACATCTTAATCTCATCGGAATTTGCTGAGCCGCTATTTCTGAGTCATGTAGAACATTACAGCTTCTTCAACCAGTAACTATTTTTTGACACTATAGAAGGCACAAACATCCAATAGATTTATTTTCCTGGATATCTGATCTAAGATACCAATGGGAGACCCAAAGAAGAACCCACTGAAGACCTGCTCCTTTAGTTGCTTGAAAGAGAGGCATAATGAAATATCTCCTAACAGATGGGCTACATTCACACGTAGAGGGCTGGGTGACCAGAGGACATAATTCTCCTTTAACTCCATTACATAGCACTGAAAACTGTGTTTGCCTTAAAGCTTCTACATGTCACAAGAGGATCAACAATGGAGGTGTTTCTGCAGGAAAAAAAAAAAAAAAAGCCTGGAGGGCCTTGAATAGCAATTGCTTAAGACCATTCTTATACAGGTAAATATTTGATTTTCCATTATTAGTATCTTCTGCTCCTGCCTAAATTGTGACAGACAGTTATGTAAAGCAAGTATGCCTATCTCAAATACCATAGGATAGTCTCTTAACCCTTAGTAGCAAGAACCAACCCTTTAAAAGGCCACCCTCCTTTGAAAGAGGCTCACACTTCAACTATTGCCCCGATAAGCTGAGGTAGCTACTCAGCAAGCAGAGATAGCTGCAACCTGCTGTCAGGCGTGGAAATCTGGAGGCAGTCTCACCCCATCAAAATGCTCAGCCATTAGGGAATGGTCAGGCATCAGGATCAGCAGTGAATCTGTCCTGCAGCCATCCAAAACTGGCTGTTTCTGACATGGGGGGAGCTCTTTTCTCCCTCCTCACAGGAGCCACCACTGCAGACCTCCCCTCTCATACACAGCCTATTAATCTATCCATGCTGGACCTTTGTTTGCTCTCCTGATCAGAAAATAATAACGGTTCAAAGTGCTGGGAGCTCGAGAACTTACGCATCTCTTGGCCCTTCCTGAGAGAGATCAAAGACCTGGCGTGGATTCAAATACCACATAAACATTTGGAGAACCTTGGTGCCCTGGGAAGAGAGAAAAATCAAAGGAAGGGAAATTATGAATAGTTTAATAATTACTAGAAATCATAGTGTTTGTTATTCACTATATTTGGACTACTTTTCTTTCTTCTGTGCTTTATAAAGAAAATGTAAACCAAGAAAGGCAAACTAGGAAGTGGCAGAGCAGATTACTGCTCTATAAAACAGCAGCCCACCAACATGGTGCACATGCAGACATACAGACTAAATTTAACAACACAGATCACTAATGGTTCAGAAGAACAGACATTTGGGATCAGACCAAAGGTTCAGCTCCCACAGCAACAGGTCCCCTGCCTCTCATCACCTGCAAAAAGAAACCTGTTATCCCATACCACCCTCAGCCATCCATGACAGCAAGAAACTGAACAAGCTTGTGGGCAAATCCACCATCGAATTTGGTGTCCTGCCCAACATCCAAGCAACGACACTGCTTTAACCTCCACCATCACCACCATGAATGCTCACAACTGTAGCCTTCTATTACCTAATGAAGCAGAGGCCAAGGACTCCATGGGCTACAGCTGCCCGTCACTCAAAGTAGCATGGCCAGTCCATCATGTAAAGATATAACTTCTGTATGCTCAAACTCTTGGCTTCATATTCCAGACACCTAATCTCCTTCCTTCATGTTCTGCCCAGACACAAATTGGCAGGATCTCTTACTAGCAGAAGAGCGATAGGAACTCTGTGGGGCAAGCTTGTACTTCAGAGCAATTCAAGAATGCCTTTCAGACATTGCCTGGGAAATACAAGTCAGGAATTTTCAGTAGCTCCCACTTCTGTGGGATGCCTTTTCTGTCTTACACCTTCCCCTAAGTGGAGAACCAAGAATAGCAGTTGAAGCGCCTAGGAAAAGATATAAGAACTTAGAAAATAAATGTTGTTTGTTGTAGGTATTCTCCCAGTCTCAGGTATTTGTAATTCATAGAACTCAAGCCAGAAGTGGATACAGAACTTTAGTAACCTTCAGGGTTTTCAGGATCTTCCAAAAGTCTCCTTCAGCCCATGTAAATTTTAGCATCTGCAACAACCTATGGCAAGGAGTTTTGCAGCTGAACTACACACTATGAAAAGGATCGAATTTTTTCTTTGTTTTGAATCAGAGTCTTACAGTTCCATTTGATATCTTCCCTAATTCTTCTAACAAAGGAGTAAGTGAGCAGCAGCTATGCTATTCTCCACGCTCTGTAGGTCCCTGTTCCATCTTACATCAATATCTTCCTTTCAACTAGAAGGCTCTGTTTATCACAAGGTATTCAGATTATCTGATATTCAAAAAGTGGCAAAACTAATCTGGAACACATTCACTTGGTTAAGTTTTAACTCCAAAAACCCTAAGAATGAATTCTGCTGCATGCTAGTCACTGAAACTTGGTTCTCTGTGGTACAAGACCAGTAATAATTTTTTAAATGCCATAGGGATACGTCATTTCACATCACTAATTTCACTAGGCTTTCCTAGTGAAACTAAACTAATTTTTGGATAAAAGAGAAGTCTGAGAGTTCATTTGCAATCTAAATCTTCTGTGTAAATAAGAAGTCTTCTGAAAACCTCCAAACTATCATTTAAGATTCCTTTTAAGAATCTGAAGACAGGAATATATCTGCTCACATACTCAAGTATCCATTCCATCCAATTCCACTGAAGTGGTAAGGGCATTCAACAGCAAGTACCTCTTTGGGCCTGCAGTTTAGGCATAGAGTTCTTCCTATCTGACTGACCAAGAAGCAGTCTTATTTGCAGAAACCCTGTTGCTACACTAAAACTTTATGATCTGGATCTAGATGGTGCTCTTACCTGATTCCCTCCACTTTTTGGATTGACAAAAACCAGCAGCGGCTTCATGAGTGGAGAGGAGATAGGCTTTATCACAAATGGCCGACCTTTGTTATCCTGAGAAATAGAAGCAAGAAACACCTTTAGTATAAGTTATGTATGTTTCCCTGGCATAACATGCACACGAGACACAACCTAACTCTGACAAAGCTTCCTCAGGTACTAGAAACAGTACAACTGTGCTGATGTGGTGCTCAGCTGGGACTAATTTATCCAACTGAGACAACTGAGTAAGTAAATGAGGGGGGAGCGGGAAATCACTTCAGGCCAACAGAAAATTATTTTTAAATTTTTCTCAGTGTTGTTTCCCCAAAAAAATAATTGTTTGCTTAGTCCCAACATGTGTCAGATAAAGTGCTGTTTCTAATGCTAACAATTTTCCAAGGGAAAATTAATAAGATAAGCTACTTATTTCACGAATTCCATATAGCACACAAGCTGTATCAGCACTTATTTGCAGATAATCTGCTTTGGAATTCTCAGCCTTGCTGCCCTCCTGTGTTTGAACAAATGCCCCACATCAAACATTACAAGTCAATGAGAAAACCATCCGCCGCCCTACTCCCTACCCCACCAGGACACCAGAGGGCCCAGTAGTGAGGGCACTCTCTTGGGCTGTGGCAGACACAGATTCACGTTTCTGGTCTGCAGTTCTCATCCACACAAGTGAGGACCTTAACCAGAGAGCCCTGTGCAGATGTGAGTCTCCTTCCACTTCTCCCATGAAACTGTTGTCCACCTATATAATTAATCCATTAGGCAGGGTGTGGAAAGGAAGCCTTTTATAAGCTATGTGGTAAGTCAAACCATCAGATCATTCATCTGTTCTCGCTCTGTGGGTAGCTCAATGTTAATTTTCACACAAATGGAATATTTCCAATATGAGATTTCCTGAGAGAGACACCCTCTCAAACTAGACTAGACTCTTGCACTCATCACTGATTTTTCAACCCCAGTTTCACACCTCTAGCTCTGCATAGTGGAAACCAAGGGTCTGAGCCGAGTCTCTTACATCCCAAGGGAATCCAATTTTGTTAGGTTGCTGATTCTTCTGAAGTTTGGTATGTTTTTTCTTGGAAAAAAAAAATCGACTTGGCAAATAAAACTTCTTGTACAAGTTTTGATAAAACTTACCTCTTCCCACAACAAATTCAATAGCTTGGAGGTTTTCCAGTGGGAAAAAATACATTAAGCATTTCAGTAAATATATAAAACTTTAAAGTCTGCATTTAAACATTTGAAGAAAAGGAGCTTGGTTTCCAAAGCACTTGAATACCTACTTCATTGCCTCTTTTGCTGGCTTTTCTTTTAAAAGACGTTCTCTTCTTTCGCCGTGTTGAAGTCTTTAATGAGTTCTACATCAAAAGAAAAAGGAATACATGAAAAGCAAAACAAAATTTAGAAGACAGGCCCAGACAGAGCCCCTTTACGAAGCTCTTCCATGCATGTCCACTTGGAGAATGATAAGATTATCTGGCACATGCTCGAGATTTAAATTACATGCGCTGCATGCTTTACACTTCCACACCACCGTTTATGGAGAAAGCCACACACGGAGACCAGACTGGTGCTTTGGAACTGGAAACTTTCCCACGCTGTGAGGGGGGAAAAAGATCAGATGCTCCCATAGACTCACATAACACCACATGTTGTACCTGCCAACCCTCCCAATAGGGGTAGGAGACGCCCGTTTCCCCTTCGGGGCTCCAGTCTCCTGCCCAATCAGGCTCGTCTCCTGGTATGGAGACCACCTGCATAAAGATGTAATAAAAAACATGATAAATGAGATATTTTTCATGTTTTTTTTTTTTAAAAAGGAAAGAAAACAACAAGTTTTAGCTCTGGCAACCATTATGGCTCAACATAACGCAGGCCACCACGTATGATGCTGGTATTGTGAAGTCAGTTCCAGCCTATCAAGAAACTTGAGTAATCATCTGCTAAGGAACAAACTGAGTTGTTAACATTTAAGGATTTGGGTGAGGAGAATGTTTGTGGGGTTATTGTTCACTTTGTTTCTATGTAACAATATCATTTAACTACATAGCAAAAGAAAAAATCAAACATAAAACTGCTTGTATTTTTGCAGAACCTATTAAAATAGAACTTGCATCAAAGCTATTCTCCAGGCTGGCGATAGCCTGCTCAGTGATACTGAACCAAAAGGTGTTCTGGTGTGATAAGAACAGTCCAAAAAGGAGAATTTTATCTTATTTTTTAATTATTTTAATTCAGTAATTGAATTCATACCTGCAGGAAAGCCTAACCTTTTTCCATATGGTTGAAATTTTGTATTATAGGAAAAATACAAATATTTTCTCAGGATTTCAACTTCTAGTCTAGCTGTCACCGGAAAAGAAACATGGGAAATTAGAAGAAAGATAAAGGATATTTCTTTTCTGGCTTCAAGTCAGGAAACAAGACCCACTCAGCTCATCTAAAAGTTCATTTCTTTCCTGATCTTATTCAGAAGTGGACCACTAATGAAAAATGTCGATGACCAGAGATCACCAAATCCGTAAGCAGTGACATCTGCAAGCTCTTCTTGCTAACAAACATTAACAAGAATAGCTTCTGTTATAATAACAAGACTAGCTTCTGTTTAATACCTGACAATCACTTCTAGAATTTCAAGACTTCAGTATGACAGACCAGACATGGAACTTGTTTCCACATATCTGAGAAGAAAACCTAACAGCTGTCCAACCCAAATACCTAAAGACACTGCCCTTTTTTGCCCAGACTAAAGAAAAGCCCACTGTAGAACAGAAGGTCCCAAGCTTTTTGTCACCTCTCAACACTCCTTGCAGACCAGGATATAGGCATGTCTTTTTGCTTACTGAAAATATTGAAGATGAAGGTAGCTCAGCAAAGCAATTACAGGACATTTGCCCTTTTAGACCACATTTTGAAAAACCACCTAAAAAGAAATGTTTGTGCTCTTCCATACTCGGATTCAAAGTGATGTTGAAAGCATGATAAACCATAAAGACGACACTGGCTATAGAAGTGCACCAGCAATATCATCCGCATGGTCTTTCATTGCCATACCTCAGTAATCATACTGACTGTAGACAGAAGTCTTTATGTCAATAGAAAGGTGTGGGACGTTATTCTGCAAGCTGCCTCCCATGGAGGCCTTAGCCTAGTTCCTCAGCTGTTCTCTGATGAGGAATTCTCCCTGCAGAGGGGCAAAACAGAGGACAGAGAGGGGAGATCTAGTCTACCCACAGTCTTGCCAGCAGCCTGCTGAAAGGTCACAGGCATATCGAGCTTTTGCTGGTGCTTCAGTCTCCCCATGTGTAAAATTCAAATACTTACCCTGTTGGTAAAGGGCAATGAATTCTGCTGGCAAATAATAGTCCGTAACTCAAGTACTTAGCTGTACCTCTGGAAGGACCGTACTTACTATTCTACCTCTACAATGGATGGCTCAGAAGTTCTGGAAAGGGCAAAGACAGTTCAATAAAATCCTTACTAATTTTAAAAGAATAATTTAAAGAATGTTTACACGTAGATGTCATTAAATCCCATTATAAAGTATCTCTATTCTCACCTAGGGGAGGGGTGGGAAGAGGCATACAAGTATATCAGAGAAACAGTTTTAGTCTAAGCCTCCATTCATGATTATAACAATTTTCATTTCCACACTCAAAAAGGCACTAAAACATGCTGCATCACAACTATTTTATTTCACTTATTTTTTAAGCATGCCTACACCTATACTGTTAAGAACCTAAAGCTTTGCTGCACTTCAATGACTGCAACTACACGTCCATAGCAGATGAAAGGCGAAAAAGCTGCTTAAATATATGCAAGTTCTCCTTGCAAACATGCAGAAGAATAACAGTCAAGAGTAATTATCAGTCTTTGCACACTGAAGTGAAGAAATGGATGTATACTACCTTGCCCACATAACAAGGGGATGAGTATTTTATAAACATACCATGTTATTCAGCAGAGTACCTGATAGCAAAGCATACCTTTAAATGGGAACCATATGTAAATCCTAACTTGCCTCTAGAAAGGAAATATCTCCTTTGTGGATGTCAGTTTGGCCATCTTCAAAGAGAGATTTTTTTTGTATTATTGAAAGGTCAGTATAGTTCTCAGCAGACTTAGCTGGATAAACAGAAGAACTGGAGTCTCTTATGGTGTTGGGTGGTGTGAAGGCCATAGACTATCTCGAGCAAATCCAGTATAAAGGAACATTTAAACCTTTTCCTTTACAACATTTGAGCCTTCACTTTCAAAGGCTCTTAGCATACTGGGCTTCAAACAGCTTAATGAAAAGCCCCTGTGAAGGTCAATCTTGACCATCTTCTGGTTGTTCACAAACCACTATCAGACAAGCCAGCTGCACTGAGCAATTGAGGAAATAAAGAAATAAACCCAGAAATAAATATTCACCGGCGCTTTTTCAAGGTCCTCAGAGGAGGAGAAGAAAACACCATGTTTACTCACCTTCAACAAAAAAAAAAATAAAATATCGAGTTAGTGCTTTTGCCTTCTCAGTTGAATCGGGAAGCACATCAGCCAGATCCTCCTCATTAGTTACTTCTCTCCCACAACACAGAGCGTGTAACAAGTCCGTACCCAGAGCTAGCACCACTTGGGCTACGAAACCTCACCAATAACAAGATATCACCAGCAAACAGGTGTGAACTGCTTTCACAAACTAGGAGATCTTAAATTGATCTGAACCCCAGGAAATCAGAGCTGGTATCAAAGGGCTGCTAACACAGTACAGAACACTGGAAATCAGTAAAGAAGTTATAGAAGTGGCTCACATTATGAATAACATGAGATAGGTATTGGGAGTTTTCCATTCATGTAGATGGGTCATTACACACAGGGCTACCACCGATCCCAAAACTATTTGAACTATTCTCAATATTAATTATCTCGCAATCAATTGTTTGCAAGAAGCAAAAGCTCCCCATTTGGAATGTATGTTGTCAGCAGCAATTTGTCCTTAACCAATTTTACCATGATGCTTCACTACCAAAACGTTGCTGGTAATCAGAGGGGGAGTGTGCTCTTTATTCAAGTCCAATGTTTGAAAGGTGGTGACCCACGTTGTACAAAATAAGCATGGAAATCATTTTTGTAGCAATAAAAATTACAAACCAGGGCAAGATTTTGCTACAAAAAGCCATCTTATTTGCTTAAAAGAAACAACCAACAAACAGGATGAAGGCACCACTAAAATCAATTTTATATGAGTAGGGAATTCAGTTCAGGATTTGCCTATGACCACTGTAAGTAGTTAATTAGAGCTGAGGAAATATTTTATAACAAAAAGGCTTCTAGCCAAATTCATTCTGATTGCAGAACATGTGAAAAACAGATTGCTTGTTACACATTTATTTGTTATCTGAATTTACCAAAATTTGTGAATATTGTGTTTGTATTTTGAGGATTGAATGCAATGAATGTTTCATAATGTTTACCAAACATTCATATAGGGTGAAGGGGGTCATAATACACAGAAGTAGAGCTGGCCAGAAACAGCAGAAGAGAGAAAATATTTCCTAAAAATATAATAAATAAGAAAACAGGATCTCTGCCAAAAATCTGAAAACACACCCAAAAAAGATGTGTCAGCACTTTCTACATCAATAAGGATGAGGAAATAATATTGAAACGGATGCTAAGTTTCATGGAAATGTGCCCATTGTCTGTGATAAATAAAATTTTGCTCTATCTAATGTTTCAATTACTCAAGATAAGGTTTTTATATGTTGCTGACCATGAATTTCAAGGACTTGAGATGCGATGGAGAGGGCATACTAGATTTAAGTACTTCGCTCATGACTCTGGTACATAAAAAGTTAACAGATATTTTCTTCTAGCACAACATTTTAAACCTTAACCAAAAAGCTTTTTTGCTCATTAATTATAAATAACTAGATCAGACTTTTTTTATTTGAACTTTCCTGAAAAAATAATGGATGAGAAATAAAATTCTCTAAATATATTATAAGGAAGGCACCTTGTTTTAGCCAAATGCCAAATCAGAGGAAAACTACAAGAGTCAATTAATTTTAAGTACAATTTAAATTAAATAAAAAGGTAAAAGATCAAAGAAACGCTTCTTTTAGCAAGGTCAGACATGGATGCATACATCAAGTATCAGAGAGGTGACAAAAATTAGCCAAAGAAATTTAAGCCCCTGCCAAGGAAGGCAGATTCTTCAACTCAAGCTGATTCTTCAACAAGAGAGGAAAAAAGATTTCTCTGAGGGAAGCTGGAGGTAAACTGTTAAGGAAGTGTGGGAAAAAGATACAAATATCAAAGAAGCTTTTTTCTCAGAGTGCAGGTGGCTAGCAATCTTGCTTACTTCCCAAGGATAGACACACTAACATTAAGAACCACACACCACCACTCTACAAAACCAGCATAAAAACAGTGGAGGAAAATTACAAGAACATATGAGTAGGAAGTTTCAATGTCCCAGAGACTACTGAGAAAAAAATCCTTTTGGTGCTTCTGAAATAAAACTTTTAACAGCCCTTCTGGTTCCTTGATGTGTTCATTGTTTGTCTGATTCTTTCAGTTGAACCTGGAGTGAAAATAAACTTTCAAAAGGAAAAAAAAATACTTCTTGCATGATGTGAATCCCCTTCTAATGTTTGGCCAGCTCTCTTTTGGATATTCTTTTCTCCCTACTGTGTTTACCAGTGAATTATCCTCTCAAAGACATATCACATCCATTACAAAAGCTTTCAAGTCTAATGCTTGTTACTTGCAACTAAATGAGCACGTGGGCTTACTGCTGACACGCAGCAAGCACTGATGCAAAGAGGACATCACCGTTTAAATGCCCATTGATGGCAAATTCTGAAGGATAGCAGTCCAGCCACAGCCAATTCTTATCGCAATTCAAATGAATGTTTGTGAACAGATCTTCCCTGCATTTGCTCAGCTCTATTTAATGAAACATGCTTGACTGCCTACAAACACAGGGGATTTCTTGCAGTATGCTCACTGAACCTGCAGTTACAGGAACAAATCTGAGCTGGATTTGCTCAGAACAAAAGTCACGTTTGTTGTTAATCATCCCAAAGAGGGAAATCTATTGAAGGGCTGGATGGAGAGGCAGGAGGTTCATAACTACCATGGATGTATGCTGGGTTTCAGGGGTAGAGACAGGGTTGAACAAGCATGCCTTAGTGAAGGAATATCGAGCAGTGAAGCCAGGCTGGCCCCTGCGCAGTCATACAGCTTCAGAAACAGACATCAGCATGCAGTTACCTGAGGTTTCTTCACCTTAATGATCCAGGTGGGAGGCACAATGACAGCAGCGTGAGCCCCCAGTGAACATGGCTCTTCAATGTGATGTAGCATGAAACAGGTGACTTTGTTATGAAACTGTTAGAAAGTAAAAGAGTAGAGTCAATAAAGAGGCCAGGAAAGACAAAACAGTAGTGTGGAGAAGAAGAAGAGGGTGACGGTACAAAAACTGGAGCAATGTTCTCAACTTCACTATCTTCAAGTCGTTCAAATGATGGAGTTCCAGGAACATGTAGCAACATGTAGCAACAAACAAACAAAAAACCCCAACAACCCAAAGCCAAACAAAACCAATGACTCCTGCTTAAATACAGATTGAAGACCACAACCTAGTTCGATGCAGCTGTATGTAGTAGGAGCCCTTCAGCTATCTGAGGTAGAAGCAGCAGGGCATTGATGGGAGGTAGCCAGAGACCATGTTGTGCCAGGCTCTTAGTGGACTCATGTCAGCCAGGTGACATTATGGTATCTTTGAGCAAAAGAAACGAAGTGGCAAGACTAAGGGGGAGTCACAGAGGGAGAACCCTGAGAACCAGGAAAAAAGGAAATTTCTTGCAGTGTGGCCACTCAGTGAAGCTGCTACCAGTCTCCCCAAGTATGGTTCACTTACCGCCAGCTTGCACCAGGAACAACTGATGGCCACAATCTCTTTACTATGGAAGGAGAATTTCTGCTGAAAGCCCTAGAATAAGCAGGAAAAAAGGATTAAATTACACTTGACTATAAGAAAATTTACACCTTTAAAGCTTGCCAGGTGACTAATTCAGTTCACCAAAGTCAGACATATTGGATCAGCCTCAGAACTCTTAGACACCAAACAGGGGGGTTTTTGGATAAACCAATAACAGAATTCATAGAGAAGGTTCTTCAACTGGGGCATTTTTATACACATTTCTAAAAACACTTTTCCAAAATTTTATGCTTTGTCTTAGATGTTGTAGTTGAAAAAAAATGGAAGAGGAAATAGAGTGGGAATGCCTATTTTCATGGATTTCTACAGATGTGACAGATTCAGATTTTCTGTTGAACAAAATAGTCTCTCATTGCAGTCTTGTTTGCTCTAAATATAAACAAGAATTTAGATTTTACTTTATTTAAAGAAAAACAATACAGAGTGGCATCGACTACATCATCTGTGTGGAAACAATCTGATCAGAAAATAGTTTATTGTTTTATTGAGCTGACTCAGATCAAAATTATGTAATAAGTTCCATAAACCCAAGATAGTCTGATTCAGATGGAAGAGCTAGAAGAAAATATTTCTTTTTACTTTTAAAGGGAAAAAAGCTCACCGTTACTAGCAAATAGGAGATTTTATTCTCCTGCGGAACAGTTTTGCAGAATTCAATTTCAGCAGACATATCACTTTGCTCTAAATTCTAATGCTCGAAAAGTCCATTGGGTAATACAGACTCTTCTTGTATATAACACAGGCAACAAATGTTAAGTTTCAGCCAAAAAAAATGTGTCCAGTTAAAGCTTATTTTAGCCAGAGAAAGACTTGATGTGGGTTGATGGCTGCAGAGATCAAAAGTCCAGAACTTTATCAAACAGTTTGTCATAACCAACTTCACTGCTTAAATTTCACATTTGCAGTCATCTGGATCCTTTATTCATTAGCTTCAGTTAAGCTTCTCTACTACATTAAATAGCCCATCACCAGACAGCATTTTCCAATTCAGTCTCTCTACTAAGTCATGAATTTGTAAGTCAGTTTTCATTTCAACAAGCTAAGTTTAACCTAATTCTCCTAAGTGCTAGGCAATGCCCAAGACCCAATGCAAAGAGTTATAGTCTGATTTAGTAGCATCTAACAGGACATTGCCTCTCATCTTTCTTATCCTAGTTGCTGTGGAAAGGAGCAGGAAGGCGGACACCTGCAGGAAAAATAAGCCTATCAGTGCACTGAGCAACAACATCAAGCACATGAAGAAGGAGATGCTAAATGAACAATCAAAGACCCATCCAGAGATGCACTGGTCTTGTTAAGTGAGGGACTGAGCTACAATCTGCCCATACATGGTAGGTGAGGACAACCTTACCAGTACTTGGCAGAGAAGGCTCTACCTGTTTGCACGCCATGCAGAAGCACACATCACAGCTTTTTCTTCAGGTGTCCCCAGTACATACTCAAACCAGCTTGCCAGATGGGCCACACCATTAACTAAGGTCTACGCCTGAAGATGCTTGTGTCACCTCTGTCTAGATTTTATTTATCTTTTTCCTCAACCCTTCTCCTAATGCCTTAGAAATTTCAGAGAAATTCAAAGAATAGATTCTTCATAATGATGGTGATTTGGCATTTTCAGGTTTAGCAATGGAGCATGGTCAAATGGCTTCACAAAGGAAAGCCGGCCAGCTGCTTCCAGCTGGGCAGATCTAGTCTGCCATTGGGTGTGGGCACAAGGACAAACAAAGTGACAGCAGGTGTGACACAAGTGCTGGAACAGAGGTCTGACACTGGACAAAGTGTTCTATTTTCATTCACTTATACTAGGGCTTATCAATGTTTCTCACAAGTCTCATTCTTTCCTGTCCCAAAGTGCATTTAAAAAAATTGAATAATTATTTCAGCCCCTCGTGGGCTTGAAATATTTTGTTTTGTTCCTTTGTAACAACAAAAGGATAAATTCTTCTTTCCCAAAACCTCCACTAACAAAACCTAAACTTCAGTATGTAAGTTCCACAGTGCATCAGTGGTGTATTTTAAACATATGGACTGAGCAGCTTGTCTGGTTCTGGATGGACCATTTTTCATCTATTCAGTAAGCCATTTGGCTTTTAGGGAGTCATTAGAGAAAATGATACAGCAATAAAAACATATTAATGATAAGTACCAATAAAGCACCACTTTTCTTCCACAAATTGCTTTACAAATGTGAGCTAATTCTTCCTAAGGATATATGTTTGGAGTAACATAGCAATTATTTGAAAGCTAGCTTTACAAATAAAGGAAATGATAAAATAAAGTGATGCGTTGCAGGTCACAGTGAGATTTGATGGGAACTATCAGCTTGAAATACCAGACCCCCCACCATGTTCCACCAGAAATCAGCTCTTCTGCCTTCTCTCAGTGAGAAGGAAAACTACAATTCAGCTACCTTGTTCCCGGGTCAGGCAAGAAGCTGTTCTGCACAAATTTAGAAATTTTGCGACAGAAAATCAAGTTCACCCTTGTGAGAATACCAGCCTAACAGTACCTGATTAGCCCTGATACACTGGCACCCAGATTGCCGTACAACACATGAAATCCCATGCTGTGAGCTGCTCCTAAGAAAATATATTTGAAGGAAGAGAGCACCTGAATCCCCATTTTGTGCTGCAGATTATAATCCATCTAAATAATCTGGACTGAAGTCCACATGAATATAGATACCCATGCACACAAACAGCACATAAAGTTAACTAGCTCCACTATGTTTTGTTTATATTCTCCAATGTATTTATCATTAAAGAGTATTTTCACATCAGTACTAGTGCTTCTATTAATTTTTTGCATGAATTTCCCTGTTGCATTTATTCCCTTTTTAATGCTATCACAGATACTCTGATGCAACATTACAGTAGGAGAGCCAGGTATTATTTCAACTTGAATGCAGACAGCAACAGAAGAACTTGGGGTGGTGGTCTCTGCTAAACTAACAAAGAACTAGAAATGTTTTTCAAGTACTAGAAATTGTAGTCCTACCATTACATATATTATATGTAGTCCTACTGCTACATGAAGCTCTGCATCAATCTGCAGGCCTTTAAAGGGGCCAATAATGGGAGGAGACAGACACTGTAGCTGCACACTGCATGTGTATAGTGGACATGCTGCTTTGGACACCAAAGAAATACAGTGTATGTTTAGCATGATGGTCCAAGACACATTCTCAGTCTCAGAAAATCCCTAAGCCACTGGTAACTGAAACTATATGAAGAAAGGATCACTTGGCTTTCATTCTTGCATGAATGTGATTCTCACTCAAAGGGATAATAAATGCAACAACAGAGCACGAGATGGATGAGTATTTTGCTGCAATGGGAGACTGCTTGACCAATATATATAATTGTGGGGTTTTTTTCTTGTTATCACTTTCCCTAATCCTTTCTGTTTATTAAGAAGTCTACTACAATACCCTCATGTACTTCTTAACTGAATATTTCTTATGTAAGGGGAAAACCATGATTTCCTCTCAACATCTCCATCTAGGATGGACTGGCCATGTTGCCCATTGTACCGAGAACGGGTTTTGACATGATAGGCATTAAGTACTTCCATTATAAAGTCAACTCTTAGTGCCTCTAGGGGAGATCCAGGCTGAATGGCAGAGAAGGAAGGCAATATCACAGCAAAGTCATACATAAGAATGCTGTATGCAAAGCACCTTGCTGCACTATTTCCATGCTGCTTGTTATAAAAGGGCATCACATTTTTATCACATGACATGCTGCAGCTGGTAGCTGGTGATCTACAACAGTATCCAGATACAAATCTGATTTTCGTCTGATTTAAGTGCTGTGCCACAGAGACAAGAGTTTTTCTTAGTAGTTGATGTTGAGGGAGGCAAAGGAATTTAAAAATTAATTTAACACAGAGGCTTAAGTATCTCAACAGATTTCAGGTGTTCATAATACTTCCAAATAAAGGTCTTTAGTAGCCAAGGTACTTCTTATCCCTTTTAAAAAAAAATTACAAAGTGAAAGCCTCACAAATCTTAAGAGTCTGCCAGAGCAGAAAGAAAGCAACAACCTTTCTTTTTCCAGGGGCCTGAAAAAATAGGCCATCACAATTTTGGCACAGAGCACAGCACTGTGAGAACACTATATTGGCACGAGGTTAACTTAGTGAAGCAAGAAGCTCAGAGACACAGGCTTCCTCCTCCTCATTTCAGCAGCCAGTGCAGGGCAACCTCCCAGCACACGTGATGTGCTCATTCCTGCAGATGCTGGTGCTTTTTCTCTTCCCACGTGGACATCAGGGCTGCTACTGCCCAACATAGCAGACTTGTCATCAGCCCTTAGGAGAGGCTAAGTGTCTGGGATAGATAAATTTCAGTGACTAGAAGGACCTACAGACTACCCTGAATTCCTAAGTGCCCAGTGTTGTTCTTGTGCTGCACTAGAAATCTTACCTTTCCGCACTGCTTACATTTCCCCTCCTGCCTCCGCCTGTGCACCCAGTGATGTCGGACAAAATTCTGCAAAAGAAGGACAAAAAGATGTGTTACAAGAAACAACGGCAGCTTGCACTCAGCAGTACCTCCCGTGTGAAACTGGTTTACAGACCTCAAAGGAAAAGTCCCTTGAGCCAATGCAATCACTCCTAGAGCAAAACTCAACAGTCCCCATGGAAAATCCCCCATGCAACCAAAACTGGAGGAGGATGAGATGGTGTACTTAATCCACATGGAAATGTGGCCAGAACTACACTCTCAGTACTCTTCTGCAAAAAGAAGAAAGTTCACTACATGATGTGGAGATAATCATTACCTAAATGCAGAGCACACAAATTCCCAAACACTGCTTTGTCCAGCCACACTGCAGGGCCCTACTCTATTCTGCTTGGAAATCACAGAAACATAGAATGTCAGAGATTGGAAGGGACCTCTAGA